CTCCCCAGAAGATGAATAAATAAAGAAAATCTAGTACATGAATGCAATGGAATACTACTTAGCCAGTAAGAGAAATAAAGTCTTGATACATGCTACAGTATGAATGGAGCTTGAAGACATTATACTGAGGCCAATCACAAAAGGACAAATATTATAAGCTCTCACTTATATAAAAAGTCAAGTAAAGGTGAAAGTATAGAGACCAAAGTTTATTGGTGGTTACCAGAGGTGTGTGGGGGGAGCTAGTGGTGATGGAAAAGTTGTATTGATTAAGGGTAGGGTTTCACAGCAAATTTTTTGTAATTTCTGTTAATAAGTTGTATAATATAAAAAGATGAATCAGCAAAATATGTGTAATAGATATAACAACAAGAACAACAACAACAAAAAAGAGTAACTGCTGAGACTTCTTATGTACAATCAAAACCTAATGGGATTTGTTTCCTTGGTTTGGAGGTTTAGAGTCATGGTTTCATGTGACATCTCATTTAATTGGCCTACTAATGCGTTCAGTGCTTTTTTCTACCTCCTAGTTAGTTCATTGGGTAGTGCTTGGGGTCTTAAAAACTCACAAGGAACCATCCAAGGCATGCCAATTGGTTTCTATATACCTGGAGCAACAAATGAAGAGAGAGTCAGGAATAGGTGGCTAATTGCCTCCATGACCGGAAGAACTGGATGGTGCTCAGCTGCCATTATTAAATATTTTGATAAACGATTCTATAGAAGAATCCTGATGGAAAGGGGGAAATTTTAGAACAGAATTTCTAATTCTCATGGACTATAGATTTTCTGGAGCTATGGAGGAACTATTGCCCTAAAATAATCTTTAAACCTTAAACCAAAAATATCCCCTGAAGTAATCTTAAAAACAAACAATAGTTCAGCTTACCCAGTTTAAAAAAAAAAAAAAAAGTCTGCCTTGAGCATTGTACTTTTTAAAGAACTATCTATATGAGATCAAATTGACAACCACAACTTGAAAGATTAGATAGGAACCTTAGTGGGTAGTGAGTTTATGTTAATGAGGAACAGCTCAGAAAAGGAGGGTGAGAGTGGTTGCATAACTTGAAGCATGTAATCAGTGACACTATATGGTACATGAAGAAACTATTGAATTAGTATATGATTTGCTGTGTATATTTTCAACAACAACAACAATAAAATAAATAAAATTTAGGGGGAAAAAAAAAAAAAAGTAAGGGGCCTGAGTCTCTAACAGCAACTCTGGCATCAATGATTTGGACAAAGGAGATTACTTCTCTCTAAAGTACAAAGTTAGATGGGACTAACTCTGAACATGTTTTTGCTTTGGAATTTTTTGTTGTTGGTGGTGATAGTGTTATTTTTTTTAACACCACAAGTGCAAAAGTTTTGCAGTACATAAAATACTAAATATGCCATGAAACTGCTCTCTTTGTGGTTTGTCCTGAATTTAAGGATTGAGACCAGGACTAATGGAAACACATCCCATTAACAACTGTGGCATTGCATGCCTCACCTGCTTGTTGACAGCAAGGCAGGAATCACAGCCTTTGAATGCATACATTGTGTGCACATGTGCATGAGAGACCATGTGTGAGCATTCTGCATCCTTTTTAGTTTTGCTCTCTGCTTTACGGCTAGAGAAAGCAGACCTTTGCCCCTGTAAAGTGTACTTCTGAAAAGTGTCCACCGAGTGGCAGCATCCACCACCAAGAAAGGCACCATGACCTGGCTATGCCAGGATCCTTTTCAACTAAGTTCCGTATAGCAGAGGTTACCAGATTGCTACATTATTGCTGCCTGGTTTTGCCTAGTGACACTTCTCTATTTGCCAAGCCTCCCACGTACACATGGTCAGGGAGTTCACCCTCTGTACAGGCTGCACTGGACAGGACAGAGGAGCCCAGCCACTGCACCGTTTGAACTCCCAGGCCCTGCCCTAGTCCAGGCAACTAGAGTTGGCCCCTTTCCCAGAGCCTGGAGGAAATGCAGATCTCTGGAAGCCCTCTTCCCAGGAAAGAGTTGGGTTCTAATCCTTTCACAGTGATGCTCATTAGAAACAACCTAAACATTAACCGTGGGGGAGTGACTAAATACAATTAGGATACAACTACATGGTGGAATATTACAAAGCCATTGAAAGTGACAATGGTGTACTTTTAAGTAATCTGATAAGATGCTTAGAATGGCTAAAGGAAGGAAAAAATACACTAAGCTATGTAGTGTCTGAAACATCTGACTGTGAACCAGAAGGCTGACGGTTGAAACCCATCAGCCACTCCTGGGAAGGAAGACTGAGCAATCTACTTCCATAGAGATACTGCCTTAGAAACCCAAGGAGGGGTAGCTATGAGTCAAAGCAACTCGATGGAAGTGAGGTTTTATTTTTAATAGATGGTTTCATATCATAAATATTTCTATACATAGACGCACACTGGATATACTGGAGACATATAGACATACTAGAAAGAAATATATCAAAAAGCTTATAATCAACTTTTATTACCTAATATAGTAAGCATCACTTAACGGTCTTGCGTTCTTGATACATTCTGTGAAATAAGATGTTACGTGATTTGGACATTGTGTGAACACCATATTAAAATCTTATGGGAGCCTGCTTCCAGTTCTCCTCATCAACACTGCTGCTGCTGCAACTGCTGGCAGAAGCCAGAGGAATAGGCAACAGCAGAGGTGGCAGCTAAGAAGGTAGCATTAGGAGCAGAGTGAAAGGAAATGAATGAGGAGGAGGTGGATGAAGCCACCTCACCTGCTGTTCCACCAAACCTGAGCCGCAGGAGCAGCCTGGGCTGTAGCACCCACTACTGCCTGTCTACCTGTCCTACTGAGCAAAGCCTAAGAACTCTTGCCCACAGCCACATCTTCTGCCTTATCTGCCTGTATCCCACCCATGATCCAATGCTACAAGAGTTTGGACTTGGGGTCTTCAAAACTAGTTGTTGTTGTTGTTGTTATGTGCCGTCGAGTCGGCCCCGACTCATAGCGACCCCTCCTTGGGTTTCCGAGGCAGTATCACTACGGAAGTAGGATTGCCCAACCTTCCTTCCGAGGAGTGGCTGGTGAGTTTGAACCGCCAGCCTTCTGGTTAGCAGTCAAGTGCTTTAGCCACTATGCTACCAGAGCTCCCTCAAAACTAGTAGGGAGCAATAATAAACAAGAGGAGAGCTCCTTCCTCTTTTTTAAAAAAAAACAAACAAAAAACATTATGGACCACATGTACATGGAGTAGGACATTCAGTAATGCATACCTATAAATATCTCCAACCAAAGCATACATTGTTTTTATAATTAGGAAAAAATAGAAATTTTTCTTTTTAAGATAAACAGCTGGACCTAGAGGTAATTATGGGGAAAGAATGAATGTGAGCCTGATTATTCCTAATGCCCTGCACTTATGTTCCCAGTAAACATGTTTAATGCTGTTTTAAAGCTGTGGTTTAGAGACTTGGTTGAAATCACTCCACACAAGGCTTTTAGTAACATGACTTGTCCAGGGTTCACAGCAGCCAGGGACCAAACTGATGATGGCAGCCAGGACCTAACCTCTTGGGCAGGGATCTTTCACCTATTACAGGCATAGAAGAGACTACCAGGTGTCCACTGAGATCCATTCCTCTCCTCTCCATTGGCACATAGCTGGATACAATCCCCAGCCTCCTTTAAGGCTAGCAGGGCTATGTGATAAAGTTTTCGCCAAAGGAAGCGAGTTAAAGTATGCTAGACCTTTCCAGGTCTTCTCGCATGTATTTTCCCCTGAGCTCTTCCAGCTCTTTCCCCTTCCACCATCTGGATGTAAAACACAATGTGGCCCTGGGACATGATGGAGCCACAAGTAGGAAGGCACTTCAGTCCCTGAATGATGCCATGGAAGACAGCCACCTTCCTTATCTGATCACCCACCCAGGACCAAGGTGTGAGCAAGAAATAAATTTCTGTTGTGTTAAACTACTGGCATTTGGGATTGAGCTATTTTTACAGCTTAATCTCCCTAACTAATACAGAAATCCTGCCCTTTCACTGTACCAAAGGGCTGAAATCCACTCATTGGATTTATTTATAGCCTCAGACAAAATAAAAACAAAAACACAACTCAGCCTCTTCTGGACAATTGAAGATGTTGGCTTAATGGTTACTAGACTATACAGAGGAATAAAATCATTTGTGAAAATTGGAGCATGTAATGTTAGTCCTAAAGACAAAACAGTTATGTCTTTAAGGCAGCGTTTTCAAATTTCATTTTCAGTTTTCTGTGTGATTTGAGAATCATATTTTCTCTTTTTTCAGAACTTGAATTAGCAAAGGAGGAACTGGAAAACTTTCACTTAGGGGAAACTTCTGGAATTTTTTTTTTTTTTTTTTTTAATGTGTCAGGAATAGCTATACTGCTCTATGATATCAGCGATCTAAAACTAACATCCTCATTTTCGATTGAGGAGCCCAGACCCAACCCAGCACCTTGCCATAGGCCACAAAGATGGCACTGTGGGAACCAATGGCCATGTTTCCTGGCTACCAAAGCCTGTATTTTCTACTGCATGGGGATGTCCATGGGGGCAGACCCGACAGCAGTGCAGCCATTGCTTCAAAGCCCAGGCTCTTTGAGATCAGACAGACCCAGGTTCAAATCTCAGCTCTACCACTTACCAATTTTATGATCTTGGGCAAGTTACTTAATCTTTCTGAGCCTGGGTTCTTCATTAGAAATCAGAAATAGTGATACCCAGATGCATTCATTCATTCTTTCAACAGTCATAGAGTGTATGCTATTTTTCAGGCACTGTTTTAAGCTCTGATGCTAGAGAGGTAAGTGGTGAACAAGACAGACATGACCTCTGACCTCGTGGAGCTAATATTTTAGTGGTATTTAGCTTGTTGTGAGGATTAAGTAACATTTGAAAACATCTAGACAGTGCCCACTGAATATTAAATGCTCAATAAAGGGGAAAGTGGGAGCGGTTACTGTTGTCATTACCGTTCTTCAAGCACTCCCTCACCTGCCCGGCTGTTCCGGATACTTCTGCTTGGTGTAGGCCTCAAGGGTGGCATAAACTTTCTCTCGTAGAGTCTCTACCTCAGATGGGTTGGACAGACCTTTGGCATCTGAAAAAGACATCTGATTTAGCCTCTGGCTTCACACTTCCATTAGATGTCCTCCCACACAGGCTTCCCCATTCACTCTGGCCAACTTCTCTAGAGTGACCAGCGACACCAGGATGGGGACAATCATGAAATAAACAGTCAGTCTTGTGTGCTCCCTAGCTTTCTTTCCGTGCCCAATCCATCCCATAAATGCTGAGGGCAAAGATTTTAAACTCTGTTGATACCCAAATGAACCCACCACTGACTCTGAGGATGAGAGTTTCTTTTTGTTTATTTTTGTTTTAGGATATTCTAGAAATATTATCTTCACACATTTTTATCTACTATATGCTAAGCATAGACTAAGGGATGAGATGGGACACAAACACTGAATCACCATGGGTCCACCATCAATGAGCTGTCTAATTTAGGAGATAAGATAAATGTGTAAACTACTGAATGATTCTGAAAACTCATCTTTCTTGACCCACAGCAGCATTTGGCAAAGTTGGTCCCTTCCACCCTCTTGAAGTACTTTACTTTCCCTGTCTGCCTGCACTCTCTTCTAGTTCTCTTCTCTTTTACTGAGACCTGTTCACAGGTTCCTTTGCCAGCTGTTCCTTTCTTCCCTGCCCTCTAAGTGCTGGAATGCCCCAGGCAGGATTCAGCCCTCAGCCCTCTTCCCTACTCAATGTTTACTCACTCCTTAGATGTCCCATGCAGACTCATGGCTTTACATGCCAGGTATAGATTAACAGCTCTCAAATGTCTATTTTTGGTCCTGGCTTCTCTCCTAACTCCAGACTTACATAAGTGATTGCTTCCTGGGCAGTTATTGTTTTTCTACTCTCCATTTTAGACATTAACTTCCACAGACAAAATCCTGATCCTTACCCACTCACCTTCAGAACTTTCTAACCCTGGAGTTTTCTCCAACTCAGTGATTTTTTTGAAAAACAAAACCAAAAACCCTAAGTTATATTTAACTCTTTTCTTGCTTTCACATTCTATAGCCAATGCATCAGCAAATGCCATCTGCTTTACTTAAAAATACATCTAGAATCTGGCTGTTTCTTACCACCTCCAATATCCCGAGACCACCGTTCATCTCTCAGCTTCCCCACTTGATCCAAACATGGGCATTCCACACCCATTCAAAACACTTTTCAAGATAACTCTAAGAGTAGAGGCCACGAGTAGTTAACTCTCTGTCCCTTTCAGGGAGAGTGAGTATGCCTGGTCCTGTCATCTCTATTTTGGCTGAGCTAGAAAATGAAAAAGTTAAAATATTGGAGGCTGTGGAGGAGTGCTAACCAGTACATGATCACCTGGGTTAAATAGCACGATGGCTCGCAGGCACCCCAGCTCCGACTTATCCATCTGCATATCTTTCATTTTGGAAACCAGCTCTGTCAGAACTCTGTTCTCAGGAAACAAGAGAAAGTGATGAGACAATCTTGAGTACCTGGCCAAGGGCTGATAAAATGAATTCCACCCATATTTAATATATACCCACTCCACTTTCCAGATGACATACCAGGTACTAGGTAGGGGTAAGAGACGAATAAAATGCAGTCCCTAATCTCAAGGAATTCACAATTTAATTGAAGAAACAGAGATAGAAACAAGTAATAATGCAAAGCCCAGTGAAAGAATTGCCCTGAGCAATGTCCAGGGTAACACCAAGGAGGAGAAAATGAAGTCTGAGGGAAGGACTAGAAAGGTGTCGTAGAGACTTGGGAATCAGCAGCAGTGCAACATGAAAGCAAGGTAAAAGCATTGCTTGCCCAGAAGAGCCCAGCAAAGGACAGCATTCAGTGAAAGGGTAGAAATCTTCAGGTACCATGAAGGGTGGAGGTGAATCATTCCAATGACCTGCATTCATTTCTATATGGTGTAGAGCTGGCTATGGGGAAGGCAGAAAGGAGTAGAGACATCATAGGTAGAACATGCACATTTATGATGGAGCTGGAAATGGGGCACAAGATTCTGGCATTGGGACAGACATACTATTCTCAAACTTACCCTCTTCTTCACCAGTTCTCCATCCCCTCACCCCCAAGCCATTAATCTGCATCATTTCATTCAGCTCTTTACATGAGACAACTTAATTTTACTTCTGTAGTTTTTAAGACACAGAATCCCACACTGAGGTAGGTCTGCTTCTGCTACAGGCCTCCTCCAAAGATCCAGGCACTGAGTCCAGCCCATTTTGCTTGGCCTCCTGAAGACAGACTTGAGATCCTTTCCCCTATCCCCTGCCCCATTTCAACCCCTTACCTTATTAACTAATGTCAATGATCCAGTCTTTTCTTTAGAAACTCATGGGACTGACAGGTTGTCCCATCTACCCAGAAACTATGCTGGCCTCTGACTGGCACCACCTTCTTGTAATTTAATCTTTCTTTTAATCTCTCTCTCTCTCATCTCCTAGGTTATGTTCTCATGTGCTTACTGTCTCTGCTTCCAGTCATGTGCAGCTGTTTGGGGCTATCCATCCCATGACCCAGCACATGCATGCACACACACACACAATAGGGGAAACACCTGTCAAAGATGGAGCCAACCCCAGCACTATGAGCACTGCTCCGGTGGACGTGTAAACCCGTGGCTAGAAGGATACCATCCTGCACGGAAACTGAGCGGTGGGAGAAGGAGGCGATCAGCAACTCATTCCACCCTACAAGAATAAGAAGGAGGGCTTGAAGGAAAACCAGTCATGTTCTTACTTCATTGATAATCATCCAATGCAGATACTATTATCTCATGTAATAAAAGGAGTTCCAGGGTTGGGCAAAGAGTTAACACCCTTGGTTGCTAACCAAATGGTTGGAGGTTCAAGTCCACCGAGAGGTTCCTTGGAATAAAAGCTTGGTGATTTCCATCTGAAAACTCAGTCATGGAAAACTCCATGGAGCACAGTCTTACTCTGACACACATAAAATTGCCATGAGTTGGAACAATTCAATGGCAAAATAAAATAAAAGGAATTAGAAATCAATGAAGGTTAAGAACTAGTTCAAGATGATGTACCTAATTAATAAATAAGCCAAGGATAAAATTTGGGTCTCCTGACTTGCAGTCAGCCCCCCCCCCCCCCCCACCACAGTCTCTCCAATGCAGCCCAGGATGGCAGCTTAAGAGCAAGGACTCTTTTTTTCTCCAGTCAGTCAACAAATACAGATTGTACACTTAACAGGTAATAGTCATTGTGTAAGCTGACATAGTAAATAAAGCTAGTACACTAGCTGGGACATGACAATCTAATTTTATTTCTTTGGTGTTATCTAGTAGCTCTTAGCACAACATGTAGTTTTCAGTGGATAGTCAGCAATTGCTCATTATTTAACAGAGGACAAAATGAGGCAACTGGCTCCAATGCTAAGCCAATCTTCATGCAATTTCTCTGCTGGCTCAGTGACAAAAAGAAGTATGACATGTCAATGAACAATATGGTGTACCAGAAATGGGAGGTACAGGATAGCACACAGTATAGAGACAGTATAGCACACAGACTCCTAAATTAGGGACTTTGGAATTTATTTAGTACAAGTGCGAGCAACAATCTCTGGCTTCCCTTGTGTCATCTGTGAATTGGGAATACTGCTATAGGCCAATTTCAGAACAATTATGAGGCACTGCCTCAAATTAGCTTCAATAAAAAGAATTTAATAGCCTTTTAAAATTACATGTAGATTTGTACGGAAAAAGAATCATCTCCTCCATTAACAAAAAGTTTCAATTGGGAATGAAAGGTTTTGGGGAGGATTATACAAATTTAAGGGAGTTCTGGTGGTGTAGTGGTTAAGGCATTTGGCTGCTAACCAAAAGATCAGTGGTCCAAACCCACTAGCCACTCTGTGGAAGAAAGATGGGACAAATCTGCTTCTGTAAAGATTTACAGCCTTGGAAACCCAATGAGGGGGCTGCTATGAGTTGGAATTGACTTGATGGCAGCGAATGAAAGTTAGCTAACCAAAAAGTCAGCAGTTCAAACCTGCCAGCCACTCATTGGGAGAAAGATGAGGCAATCTGCTTCCGTAAAGATTTACAGCCTTGGAAACCCTAAGGGGCAGTTCTACTTTGTCCTATGTGGTTGCTATGAGTCAGAATCCATGGCAGTGGATGGGATACAAATTTGAGTTTATAAAAAAACATCGTAAACAAGAACAAGATGAATAGGATTCTTCCATCATCAGCATTATGCACAGCCCATGCAAGTTATAGTTCATCAGGTTGCTTGATTTTTGGATCCCAAAGAGCAGCCCAGGTGATTGTCCCAGGATTCAAGAAATTCCAATATGCTTTACCTGCCCGGAGCAGAATGACCTGGTCCTCTATGGTGAGGTCAGAGAAGTGGGGAATGCGCTTGGCCCATTCAACAAGAGTGAAAAGCTGCTTATCGGCAGCATGGCATATATTGGTGACAGGGTCGTTCGTCTGAAAAAGGAACAAAATACTCTGAGGAACAGGACCTATGACTCTAACAGACCCCTCTTATCTCCAACCCCACCCAAGAAATGGAAGAGGGATGAAGGCCTAAGGCCACATACCGAGTTCTCCATGTTCATGTCACCATAGGATTCTGTCTTTGGTTCAACAGCAAGTTCAGCTTCTAGAATCCTCTCCACAGGCATGTCTTCATGACCACTACTGGCAGATTCCGCCTCACTCTCGGCCCGCTCCCGGCTCCTCTGCCTTTCTTCTTGCACAGCTGGCAAGAAGACATGCAGCAAGACATGAAGAGGTTACCAAGACAACCATGGCAAAATTAGTTAACCTACCTAAGCCTCAACTTCCTTATTTGTAAAATGGGGATCATCATGGTCCTGAATCAGGGACATTTAAGATTGACAAACGAAGCAAGGAAATGCTACTTGCTTAAGCCTGTACAGAACTAGGAGTTCTTTAGTCCATATTCTTTCCAGCTCATTATGCTGACCAGTCTAAGAAGTTTGAATTTTAAGCTTTAATAACCACAGATCGTGTTCTCATTCTCCCTCTCTCCTAACAAACCAGCACCTCCTTGTTATCCCTGCAGTCTCCCACACTACCTCCCTCTGTCGGCCTCTAATAAACTGTGAGCATGCAATAGTTAAGTAGCAAGTGCATTACTATAAAAATTCCCTCTGTCTGGTCCTATGCATCATCCATGGCATTCACATCCCATTAGGTCTGCCCTTAGTACACCAGCCTGAACACAGCATCACCTGATCTGACTTGTCAGGGAAAATCTATGGGGAGTCAGCTGTAAGTGGGTAAGTGAAGGGGTGAAAGGATGTCACCCAGATGACATTTCAGAATCAGTGGCTAACTTGGGAATGGGGGAGGGTGAATACGCAAAGGTGTAGGTTGGGATTATTCTGTCCTTCAAAATTTTGGGTTTCCATCGAAGTATACACCAACTCTCAGGACTTTTGGGTCTGTACGCTAGGATGTTAAGGCAGCCAAAACAAAATCCATTGCTGTCAAGTCTGTCCCTATAGAGCACAGTAGAGCTGCCCCATAGGATTTCCTAGGCTGTGATCTTTATGGAAGCAGACTAGCACATTTTTCTCCTATGAGTTTGAACTGTCAACCTTTCAGTTAGCAGCTGAGCACTTAGTCACAACACCATCAGGGCTGTACTGATATATGGCAGAAGGGTCTCTGTTGGGATAGCTTCCATCACCTAGAAGTCTCTGGTTTCCATTTTTTTATTCCCAACACCAATCATCAGAATTCACAATTGGAGTGTTTTTTTTTTTTTTTAAATCCAAGAGTCAAGAAAATTACACTCTAAGCAGGTGGCTAACCTGGAGCTACTCCACCAGCGACTTCTCCCTAGCTTCGCTTCCGTTGTCCCCACAGACCACTTGCAAAAGCACTTTCTACTCTCTGAGGGATAAGCAGCATGCAATCTGCAAAGTGATCTTGAACAGGGATGCTGGACTGGTTCATCAAGTGAGCAATATCATCAATCTCTCAAGGTAGGTCAGAGAAGGGGACGACTGCAAGGACACAATTTATACTCCAAAGTTGCTGGTAGAGATATGCCCAAACACCTCAAGATAAAATGTTATTCCATGGTTGAAAAGGAGAAAGAGAAGGAAGAGAAGGAGAAAAGAAGAAAGGGAGAAAAGAATAAATAAATCATGGGAGTGACAAAAAGAAAAAAACAGAAGGGAAAAAGAACAGAGAAGAGAAGATAAGCAAGAAGAGCAAAAACTATATACATTGGAGTCAAAGAGATCTTTTTCAAAAAGTAGCTCCACCACTTACTAGCTAAATGACATTGAAGATATTACTTAGCCTAGTTGAACTTCTATTTCCCTACCTGTATAGCAGAAAACATAGTACTTAACTGAGAGAATTTGTGAGGATTAAATAAAATAATTATAAAAAGTTCAGTAAAAAGTAACTTTCCCTTTTCCCTTTGTCTCTCTTTACTCCCTTGGACTTGTCTTTAGTCTTTTCTCCAGTTCCCTTTTTGGCCCCTCCCTCCCTCTCCTCATGTCTCTTTCTCTCTTTCTATCTCTTCCTTTCTTGCTATTCACTTTGTCAGTCTTCATTCACTGACAACATACAGCAACTAAGAAAGCCAAACTCACTGCCATGAAGTCGATTGCAATTCACAGCAACCCCTTCTTGGGTTTCTGAGGCAGTATCTCTACGGAAGTAGATTGCCCAATCTTCTTTCTGAGGAGTGGCTGGTGGGTTTGAACCGCCAGCCTTCTGGACAGCAACTATAATACGTATTTTTATTATCAGTTGAATTTAGTAGCTACAGTTGAATATATCATTTTTTTAAAAGACGGACTAATTGACTTCTATTTGTCTTTAAAAGTGCCTTAAAAGATGGGAAAAATAAAACTAAATTAAGTTCCTTTGGTGATCAATCTATTGAGTTCTTTCACATATTTGTAGTATTCAAAGGAAACAGCCTTTAAGCTTGGGTTCAGAAAATTGGATTCCAATTCTGCTTTTGCCATTAAGTGCAAGGCATTTTGCTGGACACATACATGGTCCTCTTTGTACGTAGACCTTACTGTCCTAAGTAAAGAGTTATGTGTCTATTTTTGGAGGACAATCTCTATGTGGCAGACATTCTGGGTTACTGACACCATGTACATCAGGGCATACCTAGGGGACTCTGGGTGATCTAAAATAGTACCAAAGTCCTGCCTTACAACAAGATTTTATCACAATATGCTTACTGTGCATTTACTAAAATAGCCAAAATTTATGGTGCTCTTATTCTGTCTGTTATTATGCTCAACACTTTACATAGATTGTATTGCACATAATCCTCACAATAACTCTTTTAGTCAAGTATTGAGAGCCACAAAGAAGGTAGGTAAGTTGCCTGAGGTCACAGAACAAGGAATTGATGGAGCCAGCATCTGGACCCAGGTTTCCTCCAAGGCCCACCTCTAACCTGTCTCTACTTCTTCTAAGATGCTGGGTTGTTTATACTAATAAAGACCAGACAGGCTCAAGGATGTCAACTGCTATCCACAAATTTCCTCAAAGATGACTCATTTTCTAGGCTTAAAACTAAACATTGTTTGTTGTTGTTTGCCATCCAGTCGGCCCCGACTCATAGTGACCCCTCCTTGGGTTTCTGAGGCAGTATCACTACGGAAGTAGGAATGCCCAACCTTCCTTCTGAAGAGTGGCTGGTGGGTTTGAACTGCCAGCCTTCTGGTTAGCAGTCAAGTGCCTTAGCCACTATGGAATCATGGGATAGAATTCCTCAGAATCCTCAAAGATTGTTTGGTGGCCTCAGGGTCAGAGAGTCCCAGTATTATAAAAATTTTGTTGTTAACTTCTTATGTAATTGTGGGCAGGTCCCTAGCCTCTCTAAACCTATGTTCTATCTTTCAAGAAATAAATGTGTCACATCACAGAATAGTAAATGTCTGTTCCAGCTATAACATTGTGCACCCTAAAAGGGCATAAGGCCCTAACCCCTGGTCCCAGGTAGGTGAATTCTGACACAACCTAATCTCATCTCTTTCTATCTGTCCAACTCTCTAGCTATAAATTCCACAGTCTCTCTTAGTTATCCGTTCCAGGATTTTATTATTGTTGTCCTTAAGAAAGTCAAATTGAGCTCCCAAATTCTACAAATCAAGGCCAGAAATGATGGTGGTAAAGGAAAGGTTGTCCTTTAGCTTCTTGGAAATGGCCCTTCATAGAGTAACATGAGGAACTGACTCACTTTTTGACTTCCTCTTTGCCAGCATAAATGGTATCAACTAACTGAGAAATTTCTCTAACAGCCCCTTTCCTCCTTTTCTTTTCTCTACTCAGCTCTTTATCACTTCTGCTTCTGCACATTCCTTTGAAAAGCACAGGAGCCAAAACTGGATCTAACTTTCTATTAAAGAATCAGAACAATGCTAGGCTTAAAAGAAAGACCATCCAACCTCCAAAATTTGCAAGCCTTTTTTAATTATCATTATTTTTTCATTTTAATGGAAGAACCACACTTTCAGCCATTAGACTGACCCTAATCAAGCTGGACTGGAGAAAGACAAAGATGGAAGCAGGGAGACATATTAGTAGGCTGTTTGTATTATTACAAAAGGTAATGGTGGCTGTAGGGTGATAGCAGTAAATGTAGTGAAATGTGGAAAGATTCTGGATACATTTTGAAGGAGGGGTGATTTCCTTAGCAAACAAATGTGATGATGTGACATAAAAAGAGAATTCAAAGATTTTTGGTCTAAGCAACCGAAAAAAAGGAATAGTTATTTCCGGAGGTGGAGAAGATGGTGTAGTGAACAGGCTGTGGAAGGCAGATTATCAGGAGCTCAGATTTGGATCTGTTACTTTTCATATTCCTATTAGATACCAGAGTGAGAACTATCCTTACTTCAGAGCTCTTCCATCATGTTGGTGGGTTGGTGGGAGAGGAGATGTAAGACAAGTGCTGGTTAGGTAGTTGGGAGACTTAGTCTCTACTCATTATCTACCTTGGAAAACTCACTTCGCCTCTCAGAGCATGTTTCCCTTTTGTAGAATGTTTTGCTGTTGTTAGCTATTTCTAATTCACAGCGACCCCATGCACAATGGAATGAAATACTTCCTGCTCTTTTGCCATCCCCAAGATGTGTTGCAGGAGCTCTGGTAGCCTAAGGCACTATGCTAAGACTGCTAACCAGAAGCTGGGGGTTCAAACCCACCAGCCACTTCTCGGAAGGAAGATGGCACAATCTACTTCCGTAGTGATACTGCCTCGGAAACCCAAGGAGAGGTCCCTATGAGTCAGGGCTGACTTGATGGCACATAACAACAACAACAACAAGATGTGTTGCAAGTTGGACCAGTGTGATCCATAGACTTTTCAGTAGATTGCCAGGCCTTTCTTTCTAGTTCATCTTAGTCTAGAAGTTCTACTGAAACCTATGCAGCATCACAGTAGCCTGCAAGTCTCCACGAGAGGTGGGTGGGTGGTGGTTGTGCTTGAGGTGCACTTGCCAAGAATTGAATATAGGTCTCTCACCTGGAAGACAAGGATTCCACACTGAACCACCATTGCCCCTATAGTAGAATGATCAGAGTTGATTAAATGATTCTGAAGGGCCATCTCCAGCTATGATAACTAAGATTCTAAGAAGATCATCTTTTTTGGTAGTGTGCTTTCTAGTGGGGTTCAAAGAAACCTTCCCTCAAACTGTCCCTTTCAGACAGATTCCTCCTCTTCAAAGGCAAGAAGCTCATCAAGAATGAAGAGCCACCTAGGACTGACTAAACTCCTTGTTCCTACTTTCTAGAGAAAGGCAAGACTTCCTTACTGCAAAATCTATGAAGATTCACTATATATATCATATACCTACTTGACTTAACTTAATGCCCATTTAAATTTGTGTAACTTTAAAAAAATCTGAAATTTTAAAGGAACATAAAGTATTTTTTAAAAAAAAATTATTTTTGACTCTAGAACAATCCCACTAACCCACACTACAAATCAAAAGATATGATGGTTTAAATGCACAATGAAACTCTCTCTGAATGAAAAGACTAGTTTTGACAGACCTGGGTAATGCTCACCATCCCAAAAGACCATGGAGTTAAACCAGTCACAAAGGATTTATACTGGATCAAGATATAAAAGTTCAGAGAATGAAATCAAATCAGCAGGTTTCCCCAGGGTGAGACTTCAGGTAAGGGGAGAGCAGTCAGCTCCACTCTGAAGGTCAGACTGATGTTCTATCGGTAGGGCAGTGTACAAGGGCCCTGACTCCTCAACTCTGAGACTTGTTGCCGGTCTACTGGAAGAGCAAGGGGGAAGACCCAGTTTGGTGATCATCTACTTAGGGGACCATCATCTGGGCTCCAGGAAAGGATGCCTCTTGCCCTCATTGCTGTACCAGTTGCCATCCAGTTGATTACGACTAAAGGTGACTCCGTGTGTTTCAGAGTAGAACTGTGCTCCATAGACTGCATAGACTGTGACCTTGGGAAGTAGATCACAAAGACTTTCTTCCAAAGTGCTTCTGGTTAAGTTCAACCACCAACCTTTCAGTTAGTGGTTGTGTGCTTACCAGCTTACCATTTGCACCACCCAGGAACTTCCTCTTTGCTGTAGGAATACACATTTCCTATGGTGAGGGGGACATTCAGTTGCAATACTTGGGAAATCATGGTACCCAAAGTCCTCCTAACTTCCACTCCCAACTTCACCTTCCCATGTAGTTCAACTCAGCAGGGATCTTTCCTACACAACAAATCAGTCTCCCACTACTATTCAGGTGTTCCCTTGAGTGGAGCCGGAAGGGGAAAGCTTACCTTCCCTCTTCATGCCCATGACAAGGCACTTCTGATAGCGACAGTACTGGCAACGGTTGCGCTGGCGCTTGTCAATGAGGCAGTCTTTATTATCCCGACATGTGTAGATGAGGTCTTTCCTTATGGTTCTCTTGAAGAACCCTTTGCAGCCTTCACAGCTGTACACCCCATAGTGCTTTCCTGGTCACAAGGAAAGAACATTTCATAGATTATTCCTGTGTTTATTTGGATAATTCATTCAAAGAACACTTTGGCTGTCTCCCAGTGAGAAAGGAAACCTCACCTGAGCAGTGGAACAGAAAACAAAGCAGAAAATGTAAGCTCACTCAAGGAATGAAAATAAAGCACGGTGAAGTATGCCTTTTCTTGTGACTTCCCTCTGGATCTCTGTGTCGCTGGAGAAAATGATTAGAAAATTCCTGACCTAAGATTTTGTTTACATTTATTTTACCAAGGTAACCCTTGTGTTTGGCTGTTTGGTTAAGCAAAACGTTCTGCTTCAATTCAAGCTACTGAATAAAAATATTTATAATCATCATGTATTTCCTAGCAGGGAAAGGACTTCAGCTGAACTAATATTTTCCCATAATTGAGGCCTAAGGTTTTAGGAAATCCACTTAAAGTAATTATCCTTTACCATCAACTGTGAATAGAACTTTGAGTTACGGTTCTTTAAATGCTGTTGCCTGTTGGAGAAATAAGTCTGTATTTGGTCTTTATAGCATAATATGAAACTCAATATTAAAATGTGATTAAACTATCTGATAGAAAGCTATTTTGTTTGATCCAGAATGCTCTATTGTATGTCCCATTGCTCTTATTACCTGCTTCTACATTCAGTTTTCAATTACCCTAGCCAGAGATGGTAAGGTCTGTCAGGAGTGTCCCCATACCAGTCCCCACACAGACATTATGAATTGATTACAATATTCTTTCTAACTAGAAGTCTTCTCAGTACCACACACCATGCAGCTGTGCTCAAATGATTAGAATTGTGGGACTGGAAAAATATAAGAAAACAGATAATTCAAAATATGTTTACGTCTTTTTCTTTTTTAAAAAACTTTTTGTTGTGATTTGGGTGAAATTTCACAAAGCAAATTCATTTTACATTAACAGTTCATGCACATTTTGTTTCATGGCACTGATTATAATCCTCACAATGTAACAACTCTCTTCCCACTTTCTCCCTGTGGTTACCCTTTCCCTGTGTCCCTCTTGCCTATGTTTTCCTGTCTCCCTAGCTTTCTCCCTGTGCAGATGCTGTCTTTCTGATCTCCCTTGGTTGATTGTTCTAGGTTGACTGTGCATCTCCTTGATGTAGTTGTTCAGCTCAGAGGCCTGTCTATTGTTTGGCTGCCACAGGAGTGAATCCAATTCCAGGCCCAAAGGATGAGGGGCCATAGACTTGAGGGTTTCGCCAATCTCTATCTGACCAGTGATCCTGGTTGTTTTTATGTTTTTTAATTTTGTCCCACATCTTTCTCCCACTCTATCCAGGATCTCCAATTTTGATCCCTTTCAGAGTGATTCGCAGTGATAGCTGGGCACCATCTTGTTCTTCTAGTCTCAGGGTCATATAGGGTGAAGTTCTCATGGTCCATTAGTCCTTTGGACTAATTGTTTCCAAGTGTCTTTGATTTTCTTCACACATTTTGCTCTGGATGAGGACAGACTGGTAGCTGCATCTTAGATGGCCTCTTAGAAGCTTAGAAGCTTTTAAGACCCCAGTGGCTACACAACAAAATAGGATATAGAGCAATGTTTTTCTATATATGTTGTGCCAGTTGCACTTGAAGTCCCCTGAGACCATGGTCCCAAGCCCACAGGCCCAGCCACTCACTCCCTCAAGATGCTTAGTTATGGTTAAGAGGTTATCCTAACTTTGTCCCCTATTAGCTCTATACTGCATATTCTGATTCTTGATTATAATATGTGATGCCATTTAGCTATAGACCAGACCTGACTTTTAAATTCTTTTTTATTTATTTAGACTGAAATTAAAGTGAATTTGAAGTTCATGTGAACACATACACCCAATGTGAATACTGTGGCTCAGGAGCTTATATTTCCAAAGAACCACCCTAAAATGAAATAGCAACTATTGGTAATGCCTGATGAAAAGATCCCCTCCCACCCATTATCACTGAGTCAATTTCAACTTACAGTGACCCCAAGTACTACAGAGTAGAACTGTGCTCCATAGGTTTTCTTGTCTCTAATCTTTATGGAAGCAGATCACCAGGCATTCTTTCCATGATGCTGCTGGGTAGGTTCAAACCACCAACCTTTAAATTAATAGCAAACCATTTGCATCCCCCAGGAACCTGATGAAAAGACAGTCTGTGCCTAATTAGTTGACTACACTAATTTTTTAAACTCATAGTAATAATAAACCTACTGTTATTGAGTCGATTCTGACTCATAGCAAGAGTAGAGTTGTCCCAGAAGGTTTCCAAGGCTGTAAATCTTCACAGAAGTAGACTGCTTCATCTTTCTCCTGTGGAGCTGCTAGTAGGTAACCACCAACATTTTGGTTAACAGCCCTCTGAAGCACCAGCACTCCTCACAGCAAAAATAGATCTAGGATTTTATCTTGAGTCACAAGAACCTAATGCTCTAAGCTCTGAAATTTTTGTCCTCAAGAAACATGGCCCTAATTTGGCCAATGTATGACACAATCATCCCCATGGGTCTTTAATATATGAATGAACATCTCAGAGTTTCAACTAAAATAACCATAGCAGAGAAGATCTGTGTCAGAGTGTGGCTAGTGTTCTCTTGCTGTTGTAATAGCCAACCCAGAGAGGTCAAGTCTGCATGATTTGGAAATAATTTTCGACAGCAAGCAAATATCAACCAATAGCTAAATGAGTTCCAGGCACCAGGAACGTTCCGTGGAGTGAAATTCTTTAGTGACTTTGGTGACCATAACAAGATGAGGAAGTATTCAGTCAGCCATCATGGATCACTACAGAAATGAACCTTCCTCATTTCTTCATTTGTCAAATTAGAGATGCAGATATCTTGAAAACTGGGGTGGGGGGGGCACAAAGGAGTAAGTCTGGAGGGAGATAATTTGGACAAAAGTAGAAGAGGGTCAAAGAAAATGATAAAAACACATGAATTGCTAACCTGGTAAGCAGCCAGATGCTTTACCCACATTGCCACCAGAGCTCCTTACAAAACATATAGCAATATGCAAAAATATCAAAGGCTTTATCTTTGGTGGAGACATTATTGAAATTTTTAAATTTTTCTTTTGTACTTTTCTAGATTTTTCAACTTTTCAATACAAAAGATATTATTTTTATAATTATAAAAAATAAATTTTAAAAATGATATAAAATCTATCTTGAGATACTGCTAATTGCAACAGGTTCTCTATCTTAGATTCACATGCACCACGGTAACTCTAGAGAGAGGCTTCTGAACATTTTCTATAAGGCTAATCCTCAAAAATGAACTCACATTTTAAATTCATCAGGACTGCAATCAATAATGAACACACTGACAGAAATTTTACAGCCCAGGCTGAGAGCTGGATCATCCTAAACAAACAACAAAAAATTTAAAAAAAAGCAAGCAAACCCATTGCTATCAAGTCTATTCCAATTCATAGCAACCTCATGTGTTACAGAGTAGAAGTTCTCCATAGGCATTTCTTGGCTGTAATGTTATGGAAGTAGATGATCAGGCCTTTCCATGGTACAGTTGGGTGAGTTTGAACCACCAACCTTTAGATTAGCTGCCCATTGCAAACTATTTGTGTAACCCAGTGACTTGGCTCCTTCTAGGGGCCTTTTTTTGCTTTCATTAGGTACAAAGCAGTCAGGTGTGCCGTGGAGCAAGCTCCTTCTCTGGGACCCCATCATGTGGGGTACTTGGGAGGGATGTCCGCTCTTACACGTACCTGAGGATCTGTCCCCACAGATGGCACAGATGTGTTTAACCAGAGACCCAGGGCTGGTGGACGGGTAGTTCATGTTTCCAATCCCTGGAAGCCCTGGTAAGGGCTTGATATCTTCTGAACTGCTGACACTGTTCACCACATTTAGCTGCAAGAGAAAAAAATAACAATAAAACAGAGCCAGAGTAAACCCAATCCCTGAGGCCTACAGCAATGAGGGCACACTCAAAAAACAAGTTCTATTTCAAGAAGCAACTTCTGACCCCAGAGTATCTGAAACTGACTATCTGGGATATGAATCTAAGAAAGAGGGGGGATAAAAGTGGCATAAGAGGAACTAAGTCGTTTGCAGAAGTCAATACCTAAACCTAAAACCACATCTTCATTAGGGCTTTTTGCTTTTACTCACTTTACTCATGTGTTTTATTTGCACTAGAAATCCATGCTGAATTGCACACCTAGTACAATGTCAACTGTGTCTTTAAATTTTTAATTAACTACGGACTGTCTACTCATCAGTGCTCCCAGAGGGCCTATGACCTCCAGGCAAAAGACAGACTCTAAGAGAGTCCAGCAGAAATGTAAACCCATTCACTTAGTGGACAGATGTCCAGGGGTGCTCCCAGTGTCAGGCACTGTGCCAGGCTCTGGGGTACAAAAGGAAAATAATAATGCCCATCCAAAGGAGTTCACAAGAAATGAAAAAGAAAGATAATGGGTCACCATGAGCCGGGATTAACTCATAGGCAATTGGTTTTTTGTAATAAACCCATTGGGAGATGCTAAACCAAATGCCTAACCCTTTGCAATAGCACAAACATTGTCAAGAAAGCCCCAATCACGTTATTGAACTTGCCTATAACTAACATATTATCTTCATGCTAAACTATAAAACTCAAGAAGCCAGAGATTCCACTGCATTCTCTTCCTAGTGCCTGACATGGTGTCCAGCACATGGTAGGGTTTGAAGTGGTAGATGTGAATGGCTGAATAAATGAAACTTTTGTTGATCTTTTTTTTCCTCCCTTACCCTATGTTAGCTTCCCATACCACCACCCTGCCTCCCAGTGCTCTTGGGGAGATTGCTGAAAAGCTGCTGCTGAATGCTTTGTATTAATCACAGAAAACAAGTTAACTAAATAGGAGCCAAATCATCTAATCAGCAACGTTTTCTGAGTACCCGCTAAGTATAGAGCAACATTCTAAGCATGATGAAGGGAGAGCTGAAAATGAGAAGCTATGTCTCATTCTTCAGAAATGTATAATCTCGTTGAGGAGTTAGAGTGCACAAAAATCGGACACTTACAACAAGTTCAAACAAAGGTGTTGCCAAGTACGCATGTGTTTAAGGGTCCACTGGGGACACTTAGTGACTATCTGGAGACTTAAGGGAGAAACCACTGAACCTCTATATGGTTGATCTGGATTTTGAATCATACTGCCTAATTGAAGTGACTGTAGTTCTCAAAGTAAGCCAAACACAGGCTTTGCTTCTCTATTCAAAGCCTTTGGGACAGAAAAAATGATCAATAAAACATAAAATACAACATAGCCTGAGTTGGGTTCCTTCTAAATTTATTAGCTTTTCAATTCACTAAGCAAATATATATTGAGCTCAGGGGGTGGGCAGAGGCTCTGAATTGGATGTTGTATAGAATACAAAAGAGAAAAGATACAGTGTTCAGTGCCTTGCTTTAAAATTGAAGTCACCAGGAATTTTAAAATTAATTTGAGGAAGGGCTGCAAACACATATGCAATGGGAAAATTCTCTCTTTATCTCTCTTTCCCACCTTTCTAACTCTATCTGTGTTGCTTCTCTTTCTCTCTCTCTCTCTTTTGTCTTTTTGCAAGCCTAAGACAATTTATTTGGAACTTGTATCCAGCATTTTGAGTTGTGGTGTAGGTCAATGGTTCTCAACCCTGGATGTACACCTGGGACCTTTTAAAAACACTGAACCCTGGGCCCCACCCCCAGAGACTCAGATTCAATAGGTCTGAGGCAGGCCCTGGGCATCAGTATTTCTTTAAGTTCATCAGATGATGCAGTTGTGTAACCAGGGTTAAGAACCACTAGTATCATAGAAAGAACTTTGCTTTGGAGTCACGCATACCCAGGCTTGAGCCCTAGTCTACCCTTATTGGCTACAGGACTTCAAAGAAGTTATTAGCTCCTGAGACCCTCAGTTTCCTCATCTGTAAAATAGTGTGATAATACCTATTTTAGAGGGTTGTTGGGAAGATTTGATGGGATAATGCTGTAAAATTCCCATCACAGCACCTGGCACACACTAGGTGTTCTATCAATTGTAGTTATTATCATTCCAATAAAATCTGATGAATCCAGACAAGAATTCTGAATGTTTATTATGGGCCAAGAATTCTCCTGTGAGCTGAGGATTCACAGTTAATGAGAACACATTCACAGACAAGGTTAAATGATTCCATATTTCTGGGGGAGACAGAAAAAATATTTGATGTTATCCTAACACTAGGTTACTGTTATTTCAAGATATGCATTTTATATATATTCCACCAGCCACTCCTCGGAAAGAAGGTTGGGCAATCTACTTCCGTAGTGATACTGCCTCGGAAACCCAAGGAGGGGTCGCTATGAGTCGGGTCCGACTTGACAGCATGTAACAACAACAACAACAAATATATATATTGATATCACACTTAGAGCTACAGATTCATTACAATCAAAAAGAGTACAAATGAAGAGATGTATAACATGAGGTTTAAGAGTGTCCCCGATGTGGAACTTCCATGTTCCAAGCGACTCGAATAACTTCCCCCAGGGGATGTTTTTCCCAAATAGAAAACGCACCTGAGCCTTAGAGTTCCAGGCTCTTGTCAGTCTCTCCACCTGACCATGACAGATTACATCATGTGCCCGGAGGCCATTCAACCTCAGGTCACACTACTTGGTCTCTTTTGATCTGGTCAGCCTCAATCATTACCCTCAGGTATAACCAGAAGGTATGCAAGACTTTTAAGTGTATATTGGTTTTAAGAAGTAGGGGAGGGGTGTCTGTCAGTGTGAGTTCCAGGCAATAACTTTTCCTGAGTGCTTCAAAGCAGGTGGGAGCTCTGGTGGCATAGTGCCTAAGGCACTTGACTGCTAACCAGAAGGCTGGAGGTTCAAACCTACCAGCCACTCCTCAGAAGGAAGATTGGGCAATCTACTTACGTAGTGACACTGCCTTGGAAACCCAAGGAGGGGTCACTATGAGTCGGATCCAACTCCATGACAATGAGTTTGGTTTCGTTTGGTTTTCTGGTTTTCAAAGGAGGCAGAGATTAGCCCTTAGATCCACCCTATGAAGGGAGCTCTGGTGGCATAGTGCCTAAGGCATTTGACTGCTAACCAGAGGGCTGGGGGTTCAAACCCACTAGCCACTCCTTGGAAGGAAGATTGGGCAATCTACTTCTGTAGTGATACCATCTCCGAAGCCCAAGGAGCAGTTGCTATGAATCGGATCCAAGTCAATGGTAGTGAGTTTGTTTTTTTTTGGTATGAAGTGAAAGGGTTTTTGGTCAGATGACCCTACAGAGACTCCTCAAATTATTCCCCAAATCCTCAGATGGACAAGAAAAGTCAAGGGAATAAGCAGAAGGCCACCAACATCTGGGGCTCAAGAGGACCTCTCCCATCCTTCCCTTCCAACCCTATCTCCAGCAGGACTAGCTCCATAGTGTCCAGCCACAGCAATCACAAAGCAGTATTTATTGCTACCATCTACTGAAAGCTAGATCTGTGCTAATAGTTTAATCCTTACAACAATCCTGCAAGGTACTTCTATTTTTCAGATAAGGAAATTGAGCCTTAAAGTGTTTTATTCAGAAATGCTATGAGGATACACAAAAAGGAAGATGGTGCAGGCACTGCCTCAAGGAACTGGCCATTAATGAGATTAAAAGTCAGCTGAGATAGTTTAGGAAAGATCACATGCAGTTGATATCAGAGAAGACTTTCTGAAAGAGATGACATTTGAACTGGGACTGGATGGCCTTCAAATATGGGTAGGATTTCGATAGGTCAGTGATGAGCAAAAGGCTTTGAGAGTGCTAGACTGGCAGGAAGCCCAGGTGTCTGTGGACTAACCAACTCCAAAGGATCCATGGAAGACAAGGCTGGGAGGTGATCTGTGACAGAGCCTGGAGGTTGATGGCCTGACTAAGTGGAGTGGATTTAATTTTACAAGCATGAGGAGCCACTACAGTTTCTGTGAGAGGACGGCCATTCTGGGAACTCTGCCCCAGTGGGGTAAGTGGCGTAGCAACACGAGGAAAGAATGAAGAGAGAGACACCCAAGGACAATGCACCTGCAATATATTCTTTCCACGATACCAGTGGTTCTTAGCCTTAGCTGCACATGAGCATCACCTCATCAACTGAAAGAAATGGCAGTGCCCAGATACCTTGTCTAAGTTTCACAGGTAATTAGGGACCAACCTGGAATTAGAGCCCTAAGTTCCTGGATCCCAGACTATTGTTCCTCTTTCACTGTATCACTCATCTTGTGTGACAGAAGAGTCTCAGTCTTTGCCTTAGATGCTTCCTGCCCTACCTCACTGACCAGGAGCCTCTGGAGAAACCCACTTTGGTCCCTTCCAACATATCTTGTCTTCAAAAGTCAGGACGGTGGTGAGAGAAAGTGTGTTGGAACAGGTGGTCTGAAGCTCTCCTCTCCCTCTTACTGTCTGGCTGGCTTGGGGTTTGTGTGAGCTCAGAGCGTTGGTGGATGAGATTGAAGGAAACCACCAGAATGCAAGCCCATTAACTGCCTGGCTCCCAAGTCCTCATGCCTCAGCTGTCTTGTTCCATTAGAAGCAGATCCGCTCAAACGAGCACTCTGGGATTCATCAGGCAGCTCCGATCTGCCTCTCCAGGCAGGCTGGCTGCTCGCTGGGAACACACACTTGACTGCCTTGTCTTCTGTTTGCAGCCTCAGCCAGGGGCCAAAGCCTTCCTCTGTGCTTCTGGAGCATCATGGAACATTGGGTTCTGAGCAGCTTTCAGCCCAAATTACTTCACTGAAGGCAGAAATGGGCTGCAGGAAGGGCCCTCCTGTTCCTGGATGTGGGCACATTTAATCTAGTTAGGGTCTTTGTGATGGAAAGTACTGATCCTGGATTCCGACCAGGGAGAGAGGGGCCCTGGGTTGTGGTTTAGCTCTGCCAATTCCTCACCACATGACCTTGACTAGGACATTGCACTTAAGGGAAACTCAATCTCCTCATCTACAGGCAGAATTAGTGGATTTCAAACTTAGAGTGTGTGTGATGGGGTAATGGGGGACCAGGGAGGTTGAATAAACAGACTTCACATCACCTGCTCTTGGTTCAAACAGACAGCATCTGTTTATATTTGATGTGTATTTTAGGTCCAAATACGTTTTCATTGGAAGAAAAGACTTCATGGTTTAACTTCTTATCATCAGACTGGATGATCTTTAAGGTCTATTGTAGCACTAACATTTTTCAATTTTACTATCTAGTATTCTCTGTAAAAATGCAAACAAATCTGAGAAGTTAATAACTCAGTTATCAACAGACATGTGAGTGAGCATAGAACCCAGGTCAGGAAGTGGAGTTCGGGGGGAGTTTAAAAAGGTGGGATACAGCACCCCACACACACACACACACACACACACTTAGAAAAACGTGGCCTCTATCATTTCATCTGAAAGTTATGTAATTATTTTCCCAATTACATATTTGATGTTTTTAGTAATTGCTCACTCCGCTTGATGCTCCCAGGGCATAGACTAAATCTTACACATTTTTTGTCTCTCTAGCACCTAGCACTGTTCCTGGTTCAATGAATACATGTTGAAATGAACTTTTCTAGAAACTTTCAGTGACAGAGCGCATGTGAATCAATGGTCACCAAGGTATATAATACATCACCTATGAAGAATAATATAGCCACAGCTCACTGCCATAGCATGTTGTACAGTTTACAGAATGACTCTTCAGAACTAGTTCTCCTTTGATATTCAGAAAAATCCTTGTAGGATATTCTGGGCTTGTATTTGTTACCCCACAATACAAAAAAAAGAAACTGAGACAGAAATAGGTTAAAGTAGTTTGTAGAAGATTACATAGTCCCTGACGCCATAGTACCAGTTTAGGTTCCTTTATTTTTCAAGATCGAAAATCCAACAAAAGCAAAAATAAGAAGAGCTCAAACAATGGAATGATTGAACATGAAACAGGAGACCCTGCCTGCTTCTCCTATTCCAGAGCACCTCCCTCCTCCCACCCCTAACCACACTCACCCTGGACCCAGGTCACAGAAGGAGCACGCTTCCTGTCACAAGTCCCACTCAGACCCAGTCCTGGGCAAGAAAGGCAGGATGTACAAGGATAGTCGTCCCAGATCATTCAGAATCCAACTCACCGTGGCTAACAGTGAGGGCTTTTTTTCCTGTGTCATCTGGTTAATGGAGTAAAATTTTGCTGCTGTGAGGCTCCGGAACCCAAACCCAGAACACTGTTAAGTGTCTGAGGCTGCTGAGCTTCACCAGCACTGGGCCAGCTTAATATAGTTCCCAACTGCTGAACTTGGCCTCTGCCTCTGCACACAGCCCAGTTGGCCAGAAGCAAAGCTCTCAGCCTGACCTTTCAACACCAATCCCTCTGTACAGACTTACAGTCCAGGAATAGTGGCCCTGCCACTCACACAAGGCTATGAAGATTCATTCGCCAAATTTTGCATAATCACACTCGACTGTGGTTGCTGAAAGCAGCCTTAGAGGGACAGTTTCTTGCCCACTCCTCACATCACCCTGTTTTATTTCTTCATATATATTATTATTGCTAATTGAAACTATTCTATTTGTTTTTTGTCTGTCTTGCCTGCTAGAATGTAATTGGCACAAGCCACTTTATTCAGTGCTTATCCCCAGCATTTAGGATGGTGCCAAATGCCTGATACATAGTTTTGTTTGTTACTGTTGAATTGGCTCCGACTCATGGCAACTTTATGTATAACAGAACAAAACTTTGCCTGGTCCCGTACCATTTCCACAATCATTGGTGTACTTCACAATCATTGATATATATCCATTGTTGCAGCTATTATGTCATTTCTTCTCACTGAAGCTTTTCCTCCTTTTTGCCATCCCTCTACTTTACCAACTTTGTTGCTAGTTGCTGCCAAGTTGATTCTGACTCGTGGCAACCCCATGCACGCTCAACAGAATTTCTCCCTAGGGTTTTCAAGTCTGTGACCTTTTAGAAGAAGATCACCAGGCCTGTTTTCCAAGGTGGCTCCAGGTGAGTTCAATCAGCCAAGTTTTTGGCTAGTAGTTGAGTGCTTAACCACTTGTGCCACCCAGACTTTACCAACTAGGTCTTAAAAAATAGCTATTTAAATTAATGTGGTTGCCCTTTGCAAAATTTTACTTTTATCCCAGAAATTAAATGCTTCTTTCTGTCCCTAATCTACTGAACTTGACCTGCCTTCTGAGAACCCATTCACATGAAAAAAAAAAAAAAAAAAGGAACAGAATAAACAAATGTCTTGATGGGCTTCCATTCTGAAGGATAGGGGAGCACTGATGGTAGGGAGTGAGAGTGGCACAGACACATGTGGCATCCTCACTGCTGCCTAGAAATAATATGATTGGGAAGTTTGTAGGTAACTTCTCCATTCTCCTTTAGGATTCTCCCCCTACATACTTTAGGATTACTGCAGCACATACAGTGTTTCATTGCAATTTATCTGCATCATGTGACCACCTCCCCAAGAACCTTACAAGCACCGATTATGTTATATTCTTCTTTTTATCCTTGGAAACTCTCTCTCTCTCTCTCTTTTTTTTTAATTGTGATTTGGGTGAAAATTTACAGAGTAAATACACTTTCCATACAGGAGATCACATACACTTTGTCTCATGACATTGACCATAATTTAGCACAATGCAATATCTCCTCTCCCATTTCCTCCCCATAGTTACCTCTTCCCTGTGTCCATCCCTCCACTCACTCCCACCCCCTGAGCTTCTCCCTGTGCCTGAGAAGCCCTTCTTTCTCTCTTGCTTGTTCTCTTATCCTTGGAAACTCTTATAGATTGAATGTGTCCCTCAAAAGGAAATGTGAAAGTCCTAACCCCTGTAACCATAAATACGACCCTGTTTGGAAACAGGAGTTTTCTTCTGTTATGCTAATGAGGTCATACTGGGAGTAGCCCAAACCCACTGCCATGGAGTTGGATCCAACTCATAGCAACCCTTTCTTGGGTTTCTGAGGCGGTATCACTATGGAAGTAGATTGCCCAAACTTCCTTCCGAGGAGTGGCTTGTGGGTTTGAACCACCAGCCTTCTGGTTAGCAGTCAAGTGCCTTAGGCACTATGCCACCAGAGCTCCCACTGGGAGTAGAGTGGGTCCTAAAACTCATCACATACAGATTGTGTCTTGTAAAAAGAGTAGACTAGACATGGATACACACACAGGCTGAAGACAGATGCCATTGTAGACCCATCTACAAACAAAAGAATGCCAAGAATTGTCAGCAGACACCAGAAATTAGGAGAGTGGCCCGCAGAAGGAATTAGCATGGATTTGGACTTTTAGCTTCCAGATCTGTGAGCAAGTAAAAGTCTTTAAAATCATTCTTTTGTGGTATTTTTGGTTACAGCAGCATGAGGTAGCAGCCAAATGGAAGCCCTCAGGGTCACTGGTTAAGTTAGCATACATGTCACAGCATTAAAGGAAGGCAACATTGTGTATACAGAACTTCAGGTCAGGGGACTTGGGTTCTAATCCCGGCTCTGTTGCTGACTGTGTGGGTTTGGGCAAATCACTGTAGCTCTCTGAGCCTAGTTGCTCCATTTGTGGAATGAAGAGCTTGGACAAGATGAGTGGTTTTCAGCTGGTCATGGGTGGGGCAAATGGGATCCTGAGTTCCCATAGTCTTTGCCTCTATCTCAGAAATACCATGCATGTAACACATTCTGCCTCACTCAAGACTGTAGGTCTTTTGCAATCTGCTCAAGAGCCAAAATATAGGATGGGGTGGGAGTGGAAGATGTGTATGATGAATAAAATCCTACAGGTGAGAACAATTAGATTAGAAATTTGGATGAAAGTGGCAGGCCAAATCAAACTCACAGAAGGGCTTTCTTAGCCTGCGGAGTGCTTTAAAAATCTTTCAATTTGAATGATTTCAAGGAAGGGGGCTCCCCACAATCTCCACCAATCCTATTATTTTATACCTGCCCTCATCCTTTCACTTGTTTTATCTACCTGGACCCCTGGATCTATGATCCCTACACTAGATAATCACTAAGCCCTCTTCCAAGTTTTGTAATGCTTGTATCAGTAAATTTCCCAAGTCCTTACAGGCTCTAAAACTCTGTAACTCTACATGGCCTTCTTTCAGAGCCTGAGCTCATGAACAAGGTTCTGTGGTGCCTCAGAATGGCCCTTAGGAATGAGCTCTGATATTCTTTCTGTAGCAGTAGGAAATGCTGACATAAGTAGGGGCCTGCCTCTTCACAGGAGGATGCAGAACCTACTAAGTATGCCTTTAGGTGTATTGGTAGATGGAACCTTGGCTGCTATGCAGTGAGGAAATGGTGTGTGGATTATAGGTGTGGGAGTGGAGGAAACAGGATTATTATTTCCAATTCTTCACTCCTTTCAACTCTTCACATCCTTTGCATCGTTTCTCTGTAATGCTTCCTACTACAATGTTGTTATAGCGACTGTGGAGTGGTGACCCAAGCATAATAGAATCAGGCCGTTGTGATCTGTAGAGTTCTCATGGGCTGATTTTCAGATGTAGATTGCCAGGCCTTTCTTCCTAGTCAGTCTTAGTCTGGAAACTTGGCTGAAACCTGTTCAGCATCACAGCAACATACAAACCACCAATGATGGATGGGTGGTGGCTGCACATGAAGTGCATTGGCCAGGAATAGAACCCAAGTCTCCCACATGGAAGGCAAGAATTCTACTACTGAACTACCAGTGCCTCCCCACAAGAATAGGTATGGCCTATTTCCCTGCCATGTTGATGTTGGAGTCAGTCTTATAATTTCCTTGTTGTGTTGTTGTTGTTGTGTGCCGTCGAGCGACCCCTCCTTGGGTTGCTGAGGCAATATCACTATGGAAGTAGATTGCCCAACCTTCCTTTCCAATGGAATATCATGGGCGTGATGGGGCAGAGACTTCATTGTTTTTTTACTGATTTGGTTTGGCCTCTTGTACTCCTATGAGATACTATGAGGAAAGCATGCCCCAGGTAGCCACTGCTCCTTTAGTCTAGGACACATGGAGCAGACTTGAGCCCAGCCTGCAGCCTAGCCTAGTTCACTCTCCATCTGAAACAGACCCACCCTTGCAGATATGCAGACTTGTGAGTGAAGGGAGAAGAAAAAGTTTGTTTTTGTAATTTTAGTGATTTGGGGATTGTTTGTTATATAGCATTATTGCAGTCATAGCTGACCAATATAAAAGGGGAAGTCTGATGATTCCAGTATGGTATTGCTAGAAGGAAGTAAAGGGCTCTAGCCATCCCATAGGCTCCTCAGAGCAGCAATCCAGGGTCTACCAAGCACACACCTCTTTTCTCCATTGTAGCAGATGGCACTTGGAATGAAGGTGAGATTTCCTTCCTGAGTTCCCATATTCTCTGGCTCTCTCAGAGACAACATCTATGTAACACACCCTGCATTGTTCTCTATTTATCCATGTGCTTATATTTGCTTATTTCCCCTCTCAACTATAAACTCCTAAAGAGCAAAGACCATGTCCTGCTCATTTCTGTAGCCCTCATAACATGTAGTTGTTGTTGTTGTTGTTGTTATGTGCTGTCGAGTCGGCCCCGACTCATAGCGACCCCTCCTTGGGTTTCCGAGGCAGTATCACTACGGAAGTAGGATTGCCCAACCTTCCTTTAACATGTAGTAGAGCACCTTCTTTGACTGAAATAAATACTTATTATTGAAATGAAAGGAATAAAGGGGTCCATTCCACTGACGACACACAGCCCAGAGAGACATTGAACTCACAGCCAGGATTGAACCATTAAACCGCAGCAGTGGCTCCCTTTTGGCCCCAGTCTCCTGGACCATGAGAAGTCCTCAGTTTTCTGGGGCTGTGCAGCCTGGGGATACACTTAATGCAAGCCTGCAGGAGGAAATCTGAAAAGACAATCTAGTCCCATCAGCAAACACACATTAAGCGCTTGCTGAGTGCTGGATCTGTTCCAGGAACAGCCCGGGTGAAACCATTGAAGATAACTGGAAGGTCTTTGGAGGAGGGACACCTACCTGAGAGCTGGGTGGGGCAACCAGATTGATTCCTGGAGGGGCTGCCAGTGCACCTGAGGGGGGTCCCATGGCAGAAGTGATGACTCGGTATGGAGAACCCAGAGCATTGAGGGGAGCCCCCACCGCACTCAGAGTCCGTGGGGCACTCACAGGGGTGTCGGTGTAGCTGGGATGGCAGTCCATTGGCTTCCCTGTGGATAAGACTGCTGATGGGCTCATGGAAGTAGAGCCAGTGTGGCCAGGGGAGCCTGCAAGGAGAAGAGAGTGGGGATAATGCAAAATGCAAGGAGCACAGAGGCAGAAGCCCAGCCCCTCCCTCATTTTTGTTTTCTGCATCCTTCCCCTCCTTCCAGCCACACTTGCACACCTATAAACTGTAGGTGCCCACATCTAGCTGGTAGAATGAGGGCAAGCAGATGACAGAGACGGCCTGTGTAGGACAGATATGTTCTTCGATATTCTAGTTCTCTGGTGCTCTGGCTGGAACCTAGTCTGGCAAGGGAAACAAGAGGCACAGCCCCAAGTGCCTAGGCTGGGCAACTGTGGCCTGGGCCAGACAAATCGGAAGATGAGTCAACTAAACTCTCATCTGGAAGCTGGAATGAGCAGGTGCTATGGACATTCCAGAATTTCCTGCTTCAAGCTTATGTTGTTTTGAGAATTGAGGCAGGGCTGAGCTTGCAAGAAACTCATTCACTCATATACCACAAACATCTACTGAGGGTCCATTAGGTGCCAGGTGCTAGGAGCTGAGGATTCAGAGGTGAAGAGAACAGAGTTCCTGCCATTGGGGTCACATTTTGTAATGATGAGGTGCAAGGCAGAGTCTGCAGTCATACACTTAGTTCCCTATGCTGTTTTCAGCCTTACATCTATTAGATTCTTGTCTTGCTTATCTCTACAGCACAGGAGTAATCACCTTTCTGGGAAGAGGACTCAGAATGGCGGGCATGGCTTTATGGCATTGTAAGAAGGCAAGTGCAGACAGGCCTGCACAGACTGTTTCTGTATCTGGGGATGGACAGTGGCAGCCACAAGTGGAATAGGACCTGAAAGCATGTAGGCAACAACAGTGTTGGCCACGATGTTCATCTGGTAGTACTCTTCTTAGATAATTTCTCTCTACCAGTTGCTTCATCTTTCAAGAAGAAGGAGAAGGAGGATACACCTCACAAGCTCAGCATGGAACATTATCTCCAGAAGAAGGAAGTTATAAGCCTCAGGATGTGAAGCAGCAAAGCAAAGACTAGAAAACAGGCACTCCACCCTCAATGAACACTGGTTCCCTGTGTGGTTGACATGCAAGAATAGATTCAAAGAATGACTTATTTTGGGTTCAACCACGATATCCATGTTGTCCATGTAGAAAGAATGTGAGAGGATTAAGTAAGTGGTCAGTAAGTAACCCAACAGGAAAGGTGTGCATCAGGGTTGTATCCTTTCACCATACTTATTCAATCTGTATGCAGAGCAAGTAATCAAGAAGCTGGACTATATGAAGAAGAACATGGCATCAGGGTTGAAAGAAGACTCATTAAGAACCTGTGATATGCAGATGACCCGATCCTGCTTGCTGAAAATGAAGAGGACTTAAAGCACTTCCTGATGAAGATCAAACACTCCAGCTTTTAGTATGGATTACACCTCAACACAAATAAAACAAAAATCCTCAAAATTAGACCAATAAGCAAAATCATGATAAATGGAGAAAACATTTGATGTTGTCAAGGATTTCATTTTACTTGGATCCACAATCAATGTCTATGGAAGCAGCAGTCAAGAAATCAAACAATAGATTGCACTGGGCAGATCTGTTGCAAAAGACCTTTTTAAAGTGTTAAAGAGCAAAGATGTCACTATGAAGACTAAGGTGCACCTGACTCAAGCCATGGGATTTTCAATAACCTCATAAATGTGTGAGAGCTGAACAATGAATAAGGAAGACCAAAGAAGAATTGATGCATTCGAATTGTTGTGTTGGTGAAGAATATTGAAAATGTTATGGACTGCCAGAAGAATGAACAAATCTGTGTTGGGGGAAGTACAGCCAGAATGCTTCTTAGAAGAGAGAATGTTGTTGTTGTTGTTATGTGCTGTCAAGTTGGACCCGACTCATAGTGACCCCTCTTTGGGTTTCTGAGGCGGTATCACTATGGAAGAAGATTGTCCAACCTTCCTTCTGAGGAGTGGCTGGTGAGTTTGAACCATCAGCTTTTGGTTTAGCAGTCCAGTGCCTTAGGCACTACACTACCAGAGCTCCCAGAAGAGAGACTAGACAGACTTAATCTCTCATACTTTGGTCATGTTGTCAGAAAAGACCAATCCCGGGAGAAGAATATCATGCTTGGTAAAGTAGAGGGTCAGCAAAAAAAGAGGAAGACCCTCAATGAGATGGGCTGTCACAGTGGCTGCAATGATAGGCTCAAGAATAGCCATGGTTGTGAGGGTGGCACAAGACCAGGCAGTATTTCATTGTGTTGTTGCTATGAGTCAGAACAAACTTGACAGCACCTTAAAAAGAAGCAAGTAAACCTCCACGGAAACAGCAGTCAAGAAATTAAACAAGTATTTCATTGGAGAAATCTGCAGCAAAAGACCTTTTTAAAGTATCAAAAAGCAAAGATGTCACTTGGGTAACTAAAGTGTATCTGACCCAAGCCATGATATTTTCAACCACCTATTATGTGTGCAAAAGTTAGATCGTGAGAAAGGAAGACAGAAGAATTAATGTATTCAAACTGTGGTGCTGGCAAAGAATATTAAATATACCGTAGACTGCCAAAAGAACAAACAAATCAGTCTTAGAAAAAATACAACCAAAATTTTCCTTAGAAGCAAGGATGATGACACTTCAGTTCATTTATTTTGAATACATCATCACAAAAGACAAATGGCTAGTTTTTAATAACATTTTATTGCTATTTGGGTTAAAGTTTACAGAGAAATTGGTTTTCTATCCAACAATTCATACACATTTTGATTTGTGACACTGATTGCAATGCCCGCACTGTAATAGCATTTTTCCCACTTCCTCAGTAACAGTAAACATTGTTTATCCTTCTTTTCTGTCCCTTCCTCCCTTTTGAGCTTTATGTCTGGACCAATGCTGCCCTTTTGATCTCAAATGGTTGATTGTTCTAAGGAGTTCATACCTCCCTGGTGTTATTCTTCATCTTATATACCTGTCTACTGTTTGGCTGAAGGTTGAGACACCAGGGTGAGTTCAGTTTCAGGCCTGAAGGGTGATTAAGGGCCATAGTTTTGGGACCAGTCTCTATCAAACCGGTAAGCATGGTCTTTTTTAATGATTTGAGTTTTGTTCTACTTTTTTCTCCCACTCTATCCAGGACCTCCTACTGTGAACCCTTTCAGAACAGTCAGCAATGGTAGCCAGCCACCACCTAGGATGTTGTTGTTGTTGTTATGTGCCACCGAGTCAGACCCGACTCATAGCGACCCCTCCTTGGGTTTCCGAGGCAGTAACACTATGGAAGTAGATTGCCCCATCTTGCTTCCAAGGAATACTATGAAAATGTCAATACTACCCAAAGCAATCTACAGATATAATGCAATCCTGATCCAGATTCCATCATCACGCTTCAGGGAGATGGAAAAACCATTTAACTAACTTTAAGTAGAAAGGAAAGAGACTCCAGAGAAGCAAAGCATTACTAAAGAAGAACAAAGTAGGAGGCCTCACATTCCTTGAGCTCAAAAACTACTATAGCAACATAGTCATCATAACAGCCTGGTATTACAATGACAGACTCGTAGAGCAATGGAACAGAATTCAGAACCCAGAAGTAAATCCATCTACCTCTGGACAGATGATCTTTGACAAAGGGCTAAAATTCATTAAATGGAGAAGAGATTGTTCTCTTTAACAAATGGTGCTGGCAAAACTGGACATCCATTGGTAGAAAGATGAAACAGGACCCATATCTCTCACTACATACAAAAACTAACTCAAAATGGATCAAAGACCTAAATATAAAACCTAAAACTATAAAAATCATCAAAGGAAAAATAAGGGCAAGTTTAGGGGCCCTAATACATGGCAGAAATACAAAATCAAACGTAACTAAAAACACACAAACAGCAGAAGACAAACTAGACAATTGGGACACCCTAAAAATTAAATATTTATGCACATCAAAAGATTTCACTAAAAGAGTAAAAAGAGACTGGGAAAAAAAATTTGGCAACATCATGTTGGACAAGGAACTAATCTCTAAAATTATAGAAAATTTCAACACTTTAATAACAAAAAGATAAACAATCCAATTACATGGACAGAGGGCATGAATAGACACTTCATCAAAGAAGATATTGGATTCTATTGGCTAGGATTTTGTTGAGAAATTTTGTGTCTATAATCATGAGGTATATTAGTTTAAGATTTTCTTTTTCAGTGATGTCTTTGTCTGTCTTTGGTACCAAGGTTATGCTTACTTCATAGAATGAATTTGTGATTATTCCATCCTTTACTATGTTCTGGAATAGTTTCAATAGAATTGGTGTCAGCTCTTCTCTGAATATTTGGTAGAATTCACCAACGAAACTGTCT